ATTTGAGTCCATACAGTCTTACAGCCACTTCTTGTGGTACATCTGCCGACTCCATTGATGGACTGGTTATCCCGCAGTAATACAACTGATTAGTCATACCTCCCGACACTCGCGTCACTTGAATGGTATCCAGTGTTTGTTGCGTCCAATTGCCGGATAAGTATTGTTTGCATAGTTCAAGACATCTCTCTTTGATATCCGGTGGTGTCTCACCTCTGATAAGCTCTATATCATCCAAATTAAGTCCTTCCAAAGTTGTCAAGTCTTTAAAAGTTTTCTTAGGTTTAGTATTATCTTCAGTTTCATTGGACATTTGTTCGGTTTTTGTTTCCATGATTTGCTTCTCTATACACAGAATAATATCACAACTGAACACATCAAACAAATTATGATATTCTCAATGCAATTACTTTATATGGAAATGAAACTCCTATTTAATGATAACATAGATTAATTTCAAAGAGGTAATGAAATAATCAGTTGAGTTGAAGGACAGACTCATATAATTCATATGAAATACTTTGTATAGAAATAAAACAATATATTTTAAATAATCGTCAATTCATGTAACAGTCAATCCTGAATATTATTAAATAATAAAATGATATAAATAACCAGCAATTTAATAAATTTATAAACTAAGAAATTATGCAATCACTATTGTGTATTTAAAATTTATAGTTTTATTATAATTTTTCATTAACTTAAATTAGTTTAATATTTTTATAATTAAATAATTTTAATACTAAACTTTTATACAAGCGGATTACTTACTTTAAGTGGATTTATCTTACTAAAGATTTAGTATATTTAGATATTATCGTTAGTAAGTTCTTGTGTACCCTGGTGAATCACAAAAATAGTTTTAATTGAGATAATTAATAATTAGTAAATTTTGTATTTTTATCAATTCACACGACACGATCGCATTGAATCCTTATGCAATATCTAGAGTGTTATGCATTACCGTATACAGAATCTACATTACACAACAGATACTGTACAGTAATAAATATCATAACTTTTTATTTCAATACCATGTGAGTACTTTGGGGACTGTTCACTAAAATGTATGTTATTGTGGCAATGAAATTAAACTTATTAATAATAAGTTTGAAGTTTGAACAGCTTTACTCACAAAAGCTATCTCTCTTGATTATTTAAACATTTAATCGTTTAATCACTGATTAAATCGATTAAGTGGAGGATTTGAATTCCATTGCTGTATAACTGGAAACATTTCTTTTGTATGTCACGGGGTATCCCTCCTCTGATGAGTTCATTCCCATACTCTTCCCATTCTTTAGACATTATTCTTGAGTTTATAATTGAAATCTAATTTATTTATTTTAGATTCAACTTTTAAGATGTACCTAGTCACTAGGTCCTAGTGTTAAATATTTTAAATTATATCATTGATTAAATAATGAATTTCAAATATGAATCTAATTATATTTTACTTTACAAATTGATTTTATATTACAGTTGTAGTTTGCTTATTAGAAAAATATTTTATTAATTTGAAAAGTAGATTTTTGATAAATAGCATTTAATAAAATAACAGATTTTAAGAGTAGAAAAATGTAATATAGCTGATTATCATAATAATTATAAATTATCAAAAAAGTGTTGTTCCATCAATTGATCCTTGATATGCCAATAGCCTTTATACGCCACTTCACATATTTCCTATTTACAACAAATAAATCAAACATTTTATTAATAGTAATAAAACTATTAAAACTTATGTTTTATAATAATACGATAACTTATCAAATCAATACAAACCATCATAACTTTTTTGTTCAATTCAAAGGAATCGGCTGCGTTCTCATCGTTTGTTAGCATAAATACAGTCATAAACAAACAGCCGGATAGTGTGAATATTTTCATTTCTTTTAGTAACTGCTCTCTTGAATTGATTTTATCGTCAGAATATTGTTTACCCAATATTCTGACCGATTCTTTGATGTAGATATCAATGAGTGATAAAAGTACGGAGTCGTCGGGAAAAGTATATGGCTTTGCGAAGTCGCTCATAGATCGACCCCATTCGCTGATTATGTATCCAAAATCGTGTCCACGGAATCCATAACTCGAATACTCGAAGTCACATAAAACTACCTGTCCATCTGATAGGTCATTGTTGTTATTATTGTCCTCCAATACCATAATATTAGCGCTTCTGAAGTCATTGTGAGTGAAAACCATTGGACTCTTGGACTTTACCAGTAATTCTTTAATTAATTCTAATTCAGTTTTGAGATCATATTTCTTAAATGTCTCCAAATTGTACTCATTATTATTGATATGAGGGTTAAGATTGTTTTGTGCCAATCCATAAAATCTGTCCATTTCTGCGAAGAACCAATGGGTCCTCTTAATGGGCACATCCATGGCGTGAACCCGAGCCAACTTCTGGAACACCTCTGTCACCAGTTTTGGGTTTTGTTGCTCTTCTAGTTTGAACTGCCGGTGCTATCAAACCAAAC